AGCCCCCCGCCCGGGGCCGGGGCTGCCCCCGGGGTTGGTTCCCGCCGCACGGAAGGCCACTGTCGTGTGCTGGTGCGAGCACAGCCCAAAGCACCGCCTGCCTTCTGCCGCTCACCCGGTTGCAGTAGACAGCAAATGGAAGTGCCAATGCGGGTTTTCAATCCGATGGGGGTCTCTTCAGCGCACAGCTGTTACTTGTGTCATCGTTGCTTCAGTTCCTGCACGTACTGCTTTTGTGTCCGCGTCGGCAGCCCTGGGTCTGTGCCCGGCGGGCAAAGCCTGCGGCCGAGCGGAGACAGGCGACGGCCGAGGGACGGTGACAAGATCACGTTCGGAAGCCCTGTGCGCACCATAGCTGACCCTCGGCTGCTTTCAGCGCTCGTGATCTTTCCTGCCTAGATACAACAGAAATCCCAAAATATTCGCCGCTGATCCAACAGCAATTTTTTTGTTTGCTCTGAAGAGCAAATTTCAAATTTTTGCACACGTTATGTACAGTATTGTTTTACAGACATGATTTTCTCCTGACTTCACCATTAAGCGATCTGTGAAAAGTTGCTCTGCCTCCTGTTTTCTGTGCCTGTTGGGCAACAGCAAAACCAGAACTAGGCCTGGAGGTAGGACAGCCACGGACTGTAGTTTTGAGACAGATCATGAAACGTGACCCCTCTAATTTTTCACAGCTCAGTGACAAATGTGTTCATCTTTGCCACGTAGCTGACTTACTCTACGGTGTCACGGGTGCTATTGATCATCCCGAGTAACTGTGAGCAAACAGTTATTACTGCCTGATCGATTTTAGTCTTAGCTGAATTTTTGAGCAACAACAGAGATCAGATTTCAAACTACTGCTATATTTTGCATGTGGGGAATAAGCAATTGCATCTTTTGTTGAGGATTTGCCCGGGCAGGAAGGCATCTTATTACAGCCTTTCTTTAAAACCCGAGCACCTTCTGGTTTGGTTTGCAATGACTCGTACACGCTTCTGAAGATACACAGAAATTATAAAGACTGTGGTGCTCCTCTGTTTGCGTTGTGATGGCACCACATGATGAAGAGCAGTGCACCAGATGGTACAGGCGCAATAAAAAGTCCACCCCCCGTCAGCCTACCAAAAAACCAAAATACGCTTATAATCACTTCAACATTAACGTTCTCCATTTATTGATCGTCTAGTTTCAGTAAGCATTTTCTAGGTATCACAGCAGAAGAGAGTTTTAGATCGACAGCTGAACAGCCCTTCTGATTTTTACAGAGATCTTCTCCGATGCACAGGGGGCAGCATGGAGAAATATAAAAAAGGAATGAGGATGGCTGTAATACTTTGATATTTATTAAAATTCAATGCTTTTCTTTGCCTTTCCCCCAGTGATGCAGTGCTATCCGGAAAGCAGGCCACCATGTGTCAGGGTGGGGGAGGGAGCACAAAAACTGAGCCATAATTACATGCCTCCAGAGAACTAGAAAAAGTATAACTAATCATCCAGTACACTGACAACCTACGTAAACCAAACTAGATACAAGATCCTGGTACAAGTGAAACTGAGTAAGAACACTTGCTTACTCAATTGTTCAACAAGTATTCTAGTACTACTCGTATGTACTGCATCTCTTCCATGTTCCTATCTTGAGGCTAAGCAGAAATTTGTGGTTGTATCAGTAACCCTCATAACCAGATCCCTTTCACGTGTGGGGCAAGAACAAAAAGCCAATTGTGAGCACAGAAAAGTTAAATAGGCCATTTCTATGCCTGCCAGAGGCTTTCTACAACCTGGACGTTTGGCACCAGACGTTAAGTTACCTGTTTCATTAAGTCATTGGGCTTAAGCCATACCTGCAGCTTGTGTGTCCTAACAGTATCTCACAGTAACGCTCCTTCCTTTGGAATATCTGGGTCATGTGGAATCACAAACCAGCTGGGTAAGCCAAACAGAAGGGGGTTTATATTTGAGTAATTTACAAAGAGGGGAACCAACGCTGCTGTGGAATTAACGGTTCTTCCATACCACTGATGCAAGACTAACATTCCCAGGCCTACCCCTTAAAGAACAAACAAACAAGTCTTCTGGAGAACAAATCAGAAAAATAAAGCTTTAAACTATTTTGTGAAGTTTACAGATGAGTCAGTTGTGAACTGTATGTGTTACTTAGGCAGACAAAACAGAGAACACTGTTGAACTTGCTGAAAGCGGCAAGGACTGATTATCTTGAATTGCTGCCAGCTCTTTAGATACACTGTGGAAAGGCAAAAGGAAGGGCAGCCTGTGGGGGAAGAAGTCCACTGCTAGATTTGGGAAGAGTAGCTTTTTCCCCAGTGTTTTGTTTACAGAAAGAACAGCACCATGCCACTGAGATTCTGCACAGTCCCAACTCTTAGATAAGCGAAAAAGGGTAGCCAGCTGGTGGGCAAGAAACCTCCTCTCAAGCAATTTTAGACAAGCACTCAAATGGGAACTAAAATCAGCTATTGTGTCCGGGCACTAAGAGCTCTGAAGTACTGCATGCATCTGCCTGCATACATGAGCAGGCTATCCAATTAAAAGCAAATTTAACTAATGATTTCTCAAAATAATTAGTTAACAAATATGTACATGTAGATGTTAAACACATCTATGTTTACTTAACACACCTGTAGCAGGAAGCAATACCTTTACTTGTCTGTCAGCTTATACTTACTAACTAGCTTTTTTGTCCCATATTGCTGTAACTGCCATCTCCCTCCACCCCAGCCCACCCCTCAAGAAACCTGTAACATACGCCTTTTAGTACATGCGTGGTGCACAGCAACCTGAAATGAAGTGCAGCCAGCTAGCAAATTACTACTGACGGCTTCTTACGAGGGGACTCTAACACTGGAACTCTTGATTCATTAGTGGGTTACTCTGTGCTGGTAAAAGCTGTGACAAACCTGTGACAGAGCAGAGAACAGTCAAGTAGTTGCAAGTTCCTTTATAAAGTTTCTTTGGTTGAAAGATATTTCAGGTAGACTTGGAAAACTCTTGTTATCAGATACTCCAAGATTAGTATTTGCTCACTGAAGGGCCAAAGATGGTTAGAATAGGAAGAAAGATGTGTTTTGTTTGCCTTTTAATTATTTCAAGATTAAATACAGTATGTCAAATTCAAGAAGTGTTTGCTGATGTTATGTTGTTGAAGATGTTCTGGTAAATTGTAATCCACGTGCAGTTACCCTTCCTATTTAGATACTCAAGACAGCCAGTTTGACACATTATTATTGGAAAAAATTATATTTTGGAAGAACTCACTACAGAAGGTGACAGAATTCCAAAAAATCAAATTACATGAAAATATACATCGCAATTTTCTTTGTACATTAGGTGAGGAAAACTCTGAAGTAAAGGCAAAGAATATGAAGGGCCATAGGAGAGAGAGAAGGGAAAAGGAGGGAAAGTATTTTTGATACCAAACCCAGAAGTTAGTCATTTGAAAGCCTACAGATGTGCATGCTTGAACTCAACCTTGAGGAAAAAAAAAACCCAAGCCTCCCCCACACACACCCCGCCCCACAAACAGGCAATGAAAAAGGCAGAAAAAAGGAAAATCACCCATAAGAAGCAGCTCATTCCTATCTTGGACTAACTTAGTCAACTGAACTTCCAAATGAAAGCGCTTAAGTCCCTTGGAAGTTAAAAATCCAGCAGGCTGCTCAAGGGTGCTCCATGGCCAGTTTTATTGCTATACCCAATTCAAGAAGTATGTGCAATTGGGTTTAAAAAAGGGGTAAAAAAAACCAAAACAAAACAAAAAAAAAAAAGCACCTTTGAGACTACAAAGGTCATCATAAGAGAAGACACAAGTAATTGATAGCAAATCCTTTCAGGGTTTAATTAGGAAAATTTCAAGTTCTGATGGGGGAAACAAAAGGGAGCACATTTCCAAAAACCAAAAAAGAGATACTAAACTTTAATAAGCAAGAGATTTTAATTAAGCCTCAGTGGGTCAAAGGAAAATTAAAGTGGGGAAAGAAAAAAAAAAAAACCAAACTTCATCCTAATTGGTTTTAGTTTGACATGCTTCACAAGTTGTTGTTGGTTTGCTTTGTTTTTTTAAACTGATAGGAAACAATGAATAGGGAGAGGAAAACCTGCTAAAATCTTTAGAATTTACACAATTCTATTCCTAACTACAGACAGCATTATTTGGTACAATGTGTATTTGTGGATGTACATGAACAGTATATATATTATCCGGATCATGTTGTGCTATGTACACATCTTTACAATTCTTCCTGAAGGTTAAAGCAGTTCATTAGATTTCAAAATGCGTAATCATCTTGTGTTGGCACTTGTTAGGCTCTTGTCAGCATTGATAACTGGCATGTTTTATTGCAGCCCAGTTCCAGCCAGTGTTTGCCAACTTGTAACAACAGAAGTCCAGCAATAGGTGGGTAGAGTGCAGGAAAAAAAACAGTGCCATGTTTCTCAATTGAAGACCTACAAAGAAATCACAGTTATTAAAATAAAACTTCTCATCATCCTCAAGTATTTTAAAGATGTTAAATAGCGTTTCAAACTCAAGGAAGATAATCATTACTTGTTCAAGAACTTTACATACCTCTAAACAGAAGATGCATAAATCCAAAATCATCACCTGAGAAAGACTTGAGTTAGTTCAGCACACTGTGTATCCAAGCTGAACTATCAGACTTTCAGGCTCCTGTTAACTCGTGTTGCTTGTCAAGTGCATACATGGTGTGTAAACATTTGATTATTCACATACAGGGCTAAACGCTTGTAGATTTACCATTGAAACTTCTGTGCATCACTTACTGTGAATGATGGATGCTGCTTCAACAGCAGAGTGCAGTACAAAATGGCATAGCAGTGCTTCATTAAGCAGTACCACCACAGCTATCAAGTCAGGCTGTGCTTGTTTGAAAGCAGCTATATGGCCCCTTCTCATCCAACTCATTGCCCATCACTTACTTAGGAGGAGTCACCAGGACTTAGAAAAGCTTTTGCCTTCCAAAAAAGCAACACAGCCAATTACTTAAATATTTGTCATGAGCATTGTTTTACTATGGCCAAGTTTAACATGGCAACAGAGCTGAGGTTAGTTAAGGATACGCTGGAGCATTACTCACAGTTACTCCCTTTCTCCAAGACAGAAAAAACTGCCAGCTGCACTAACAATTCTTACACTCTAGTTATGGGCAGTTGTATAAGACATTAAATTTCTTTGCTTAGTCTTTTGATCAATATTAAGCATTTTCATGCTTACTCTATACTGGAGAAAGTTCCATTCAATCAAAGCATTTCTGCAGAGAAGAGATACCGTAGTACTAGTTTGTCACACACAGAGCCTTCCCCCACCCCACTCCCCCATTCTTACGAAAGTATAAGAAAGGAATTCTCCTGCACAACCTTGGTGAAGAAAAAATAACTAGCAGGAAGATTTAGTAAGCTGTTCTAGTTGTTCACACAGTACCATCCCTTTAAACTACATACAGTGCCATATTCCCACCCGCCCCCCCCAAGTTTTGTATGCTGAAGTTAACTAGTCCATATGGGTTTGGGCTTCTCCAGCCAAACGGGTCTGAGTAGTTTATTTGCCAAACCAACCATTAAGAAAGGGCAGCTTCAACATGAAGCTCTGTTTTGCTTTGAAAAGCAAGAGTGGGAAATTATTAGCTAGTTGAGGAAGTTTTTCCTTGGTATACCAAGATTAAAGTGACCAAAGGCCAGATATTTAACGGCCATGTTTTAATACGGAGCTTTCTACAAGAGCTTATTGTGTAACAAAAAAAAAAAAAAAATCCCATTAAAACTAGGATGGGATTGTTCAAATTAGAGTAATAATCTTGAGTCAGAAGCTCATTTTTAACAGGGTGGTGTAAGAGTAAATATCACGTCAGCTACTCTCAGGTCAAAACTTGTCCAGACTCTCAGATATGCTACAGTTCAGTTTCCAAGCAGAATATAGCTGTTTTTCTGAACCTATTCTTAAGTCCTTCCCAGTAAAAAAGGTTTTTGGGCTGCTGAAAAGAACACCACCTTTCTTGATATTATTGATGGGTAGTATCTCAACGTGATCCTTTCTGATATGCTAGCAGACTGTCTATTAAAATTCCCATAGATACCTGAAGCAATCCCTTCCAAATGGTTCCTAACAACCTCACTGAAGTCTTATTTCAAACCTACATGCAACATGCTACCAACATCTGCAAGATAAACTCTGTATACATGTATACATACAAACTTAAGATAGCAAGACGGGATGCTTTTAAGATTCGAGCAAGCGTTCTTCACAATAGTGAACACCAAAGAATGATTATTCCCTTCTATTACAGCTCTAGTAACCCCTATAACAAGTTAATAAAGCAGGATGAATAGGATGAATACTGATGAAGAGAATTTCAACTTCCAAACAACATAAATGCAAGAGTGTTAGACAAGTTCCCCAATCTTGACAGAAGGGGCTGTTACTGCACTTGAAAATTCTTTTAGCCTTTAGTATCACATACAGTCAAAGAACTCCACAGAGACCATGCAGCTGAGATGAAATGTTGGTTGGTTGTTTTGGGGTGGGTTTTTTTTTTTGGCTTTTTTTTTGTTTGGGTTTTTTTTCTTTTTGCTTTTGAGGCGTAAAAAGTTAGTTCGGCAACACTTAGGCAGGAAATCCTCAACTCAGGTAATTGACTTGTCTTTAGAAGGATACTTACCCTGAAAAAAGTGAAGCTACTAGCTGCTGAATAAGTGTCACTCAAAAGCAGTTTCTTGGCTTTTTCTTACACAGCGGGCAACTTTTCTTTTAAATTCTCCATTTCTGTCTTCTCTCCATTCTTTCTGTAATTGAATAGACAGCTTTCAGATGTCAGTCCTATAACAACGTACAAGTTCTAGGAAGACTCTTGGTGTTTTTAGACACTAGTCAACACCTAAATTTGCTTACAATCATTGAACTAGTCACTGAACACCTGTGACATTAAGGAATTTTGAATGCTTGCTCTGAGTTTCTGTGCGAGCTGCTCACACGACATTGAGGAAGCAGCCTTTCCCCCTTGGATTCTAGGCATTCTCCAAGACTAAACCGATGGCTACCAATATTTCACAAAGTCTAGGCCAAAATCTTTCTACTTCAGCCTGCAAAGTAGCAGCAAACTCAAACTGTAGACCACAAGCTATTGTTATGGGTTAGAGAAAATCTCTTTAACTGCAGTGATGAAAAAAGGTACACAGCTACTGTGGAGTCAGTAACTCTTCTGCGATTTTGAGGACAGTTTCAACTCCCTTCTCAATCTAGCCAGGACACTCCAGGATAGAAATACAGAAGTCACAGTATTCAGAAGAGGCACAGCAGTGCCCTTAGAAAGAAAACACCTCCTAGTTAGATATGGCTGCAAGATACTGGCTCCATGAGGAAGACCTTAACAGCACACCTATGGGAATGGTCTCTGTGACAGGCATCTGATTTCAGAACTGCATAGATGAGGAACAAAGATAAAGATGAACAGGAAGACAGGCAAGAGGTAAGTCTAAACCCAGAGACGTGCACACTATGGTATCACCAAAAGCCATAGGGAAAAGCACAGCCAGTTTCAAGATTTTTTTGTACCTCAGATGAAAGCATAGGAGCATGATACACTGTGACTAAGGTTGACGTGTTGGGTACCGGCAAGGAAGTGGTGGGAAAATATGAAGAACTCCTTATTTGTATGAAATAAGTTATATAGTTCTTAGTTTTTGAGATAAGCAATATATTCTTACTGCAGGAGTAGGGCAAGGGGTTAAAAAACCCCCACACTGTTTTACCTGAAGCAACCTAGCACACACCACCTTTTCACCCCCTACTTGAGGTGAAGGTTGTAGCACATGTGAGTGAGAAAAAGTTAGGATAACTGGTATATCGTAACATTCACAGCCTCCAGGCTCACCTAGCTAGTTAGCATGTCACAAAGCCCAGCATGCTTATCTTTCCAGTGAAAGCACAAATAAGGCTACTAATTAATTTGTTCTTTTTCAGCAATTAATACAGCAAGCATTTGGTTCCTTGGACTGGGACATAGAACAGCTTAGACAAGATGGCTTAAGGCCAAGAAAAGCATTGAACTTGTGCCCTCCTAGCTTCAGATTCTTAGGTTTTATTTCTACTTTTTATATTTGTAGTTCTATGAAGCAAGTGTGCAGAACTGAATAGCAAGCAAAGTTTTCAATTTGACAGCAGCCTCTCCAAAGCTCTTATTTTAGGTCATGAACTGTTCTACCTGCTTCTCACAATATCCATTCTAGCTCTCATCCCTCATTTTTGTCCCACTCCAAGAGACAGTATTCCAACACTCACAGTTCATCTTCCCATGAAGCGGGTATATCCCCTGCTCCTACAATATTGTGACCTGCCTGTAACATCTTATTCTCTAGACACACTTAAAACTAGAGAAAATGAAAGCAGACAGTATCTTTTAGTAACTGCCAAATACTGTTGCTGCAGTAAACTTGTACTTCATAAACTAAGTAGAAGACATCTTGAGAGCAGCTCGGAATAAAGCACGTGAGCTGCTGATTCTTCATTACCCTGATGAGTATGTTCTGGTTAATATGAAGAGGATGTAACATACTATCCAGCAGGAGATGCTAAGCTGCTCAAGCAGCACATTAAGTTTAAAAGTTATTTGGAACATCTAATACCACAGTCAGAAAAATAGTTACTAGCATCCAAAGGTTGTATCAGTGATGCCTCAGTACTGTCTTCACAGTTGGATTTGGATATAAGTTTTTGTTCTTTCAAGCTGGACTAGAAAATGCTGTGTTTCCTTAAGACATTTTCACTCTTCACCCTAAGGTTTAGGTAAAGAAATTTGTAATTTCCTATCTAGCATCTCTGAGGAGAAGAAAAAAAAGAAAAAAAAAAATCATGAAGTGGCTGGTACAGAGTGGGGCACACAACAGAAAGATTAAAAAGCTTGTGAAATGCCAGGAAGGTGACAAGCATAGCTCAACGTATAAGCTTTCTCCAGTGTTAGGTCGGATACATTCAACATACATGAGTCTGTAAACTGATGAATTCTAATTGTACTTTTAGCATTTCATTAATAACTTGCTCCTCCCAGTGGTCTCAGGTTCACCAGCAGAAAACGTCAATGTGTCCTGGCTACTTGTTTCCACCAGTAACATGACTCAAGAAGGGGCGGTCTGACACTCAAAAGAATGTTAACAAGGGAATTATTCACTACAACTTTGTGTTTGTTTTTGTTTTTCTTCCCATTAAGTTTGTTCCACATAAGACTATTCCCATGATGATATTTCAGCACAGCTCAAGCACCTTTGGAAATACTAACAGCATAGTACATCAAAGGCTTCAGGAAACTAAACTCCCACCCACTCTGTCAAGCTATAGCTAGCTTGACAGAGCAGCCTAACATGCTTCTAGAAAACTCAGCATCTTCTGATTACCATCTCTTTTCCTCACTACCCCAGTTAAAAGACCTAGAACTTCTTTTGTGAGAGCATATCATGTGTTAGTCATTGCTGAACTGCAATTCTAGAGTAATTCAAAGGAAAGTATGTTGGTGTATCGAGAGGCTGAGAGAGTTGGGGCTGTTCAGCCTGGAGAAGAGAAGGCTCCGGGGAGATCTTATTGTGGCATTCCAGTACCCAAAGGGGGCCTACAGGAGAGCTGAGGAAGGACTTTTTACTGGGGCATGTAGTGATAGGACAAGGGGGAATGGCTTTAAACTGGAAGAGGGCAGGTTTAGATTAAACATTAGGAAGAAATTTTTCACTATGAGGGTAGTGAGGCACTGGAACAGGTTGCCCAGAGAGGTTGTTGAGGCCCAATCCCTGGAGGCATTCAAAGCCAGGCTGGACGTGGCCTTGGGCAACCTGGTCTAGTGGGAGGTGTCCCCGTCTATGGCAGGGGGGTGGGACTCAATGATCTTCAAGGTCCTTTCCAACCTAAACCATTCTATGATTCTATGATCTCAGATGAGTGGGACCTGAAGTCTGTTCCCCTACTTCTCTCAAAACTGAGAATTTTTTCCCTTCCCACTACACTTATGAGTCTAACTGCTATTCTGCTATCAACAGAGCTCTCCTAGAGAGATGACAGCCGTGTTTATACACTCACGCAGAATAGGCCACGCTCCAGAAACACCATGCTGCATGAAACACTTGCACCTCACTTATGACAGAATCCTTACTGCAAATTCACCCTAGTCTTTGACTATAAACCAGGCTATTCTTCCTCACTCTTTAGCCAGTCGTTCTAGTCTGGGACAACACTTCTCCAGAGTTGAAGGCCAGGTGCTCGGTGAAGCTTTCACGTACATTCTCAAAGCACAGATCTACAGTCAAACCTACTGCTTTAATCCATGACCCAAGACGACTGCTGTAGAAAAGTGAATGCAAAGAGTCACAACATAATTATACTGAGGGACCCCAACACATTTTCTTCTTCCATTCAAATCAATAAATCTCTTAACAGCTTATATAATTTCCAAGATAAAAATTTTGCTGCATTATACTAATAAGATACCAGGAACCAAAAAAGGTTACAGAATACATTAACCTCTGCAGCTAAACTTAACGGCAGTTGTAACTGCTGCGTGTATGTAGCCACACAGGATTTTACAGCCAGCTCCCTTGAACTTTAAGAATAAAGGAGGTCAGTTTTATCCATTAAGTACCTCTGTGCACAAGTTATTTACTATAAATTAAAAAAAAATGCATTACTGCATAGGAGAAATTAAACCACTGTCTCTGAATTTGACAGCATCTTTCCCTTGCAATCTGTAAGAAGTTTCTCATGCCTAACTAGTAATTTTGTCTCACAACACGACTACTGTTCCCAACAAAAAGGTAGCCTTAGCCTGTGACATAAGGTTATTCCAAAAGTTATTGTACCATTTGTCAAACTAGAAGCAAAACTCCATTGCAAGTTTAGGTTTGTACACCAAAGACAATTGGCAGACCAAGAAAAATCTTACCGCTGCATCAACATTAGCAGGAGAATCACCATTGGGATCTGCCAGCATAGAAATAACACTAATCATTATAGTTTCCACTGTGTGAATGGGAAGCCAACGTTCCTCAGGTTTTTCATAGCCATATTTGTCTTCTCCAGGCTCATGAAGAATTGAAATGCAGACATCACCATTCTTGTCAACTACAAAATAGAACAAGGCATATTTCAGCAATGAACAACATGCTGGCATTTCTTCAGGATAGTTACGGAACTGTTAATCTTCACTCCAGCAAGTCTGAGAACGCATTGAAGACGCTTTACAAAAAAGGAAAGTAATTAACTATTACAGAACACGATCTGTAATAAGCAGGGCTTGGTGGAAGTCTGTTATTCTGCCTGGACTTCTGGCAGAGGGAAGCACACGGGGAAGAAAAACTTAATTCTAACATCATGTTGCAACTTTCAAGACTATTTATATAGGCTTTCACCAAAGCTTTTTCTGTTAAATTCAAACTAGACATTGACTATTTTCCACAGCAACAGCTGGATATTACTGCAATATATTGGAATATGATTTAAGCTGCTGGAATTTGAAACTGCCTGACAAGTACTTTGATATTTCCGAGCTGAAACTGACACGGCATCAAAATCATCTCTCTGTCCCTTATGACGGGAGCACTGGGCTGGTGTCGTCCCAGCTTTCAACATCTACAACTTCAATAATGACTTTAGAAACCGAAGAGCATTCCTCCAGCCCAGTAAAAACCTTCTTCCATTTTACTTTACCTTCCCACTTATGTCCAGCAGTCCATAAGTAAGTGAAACATTAGGAGTCGTCATCTTTGGAGGGACTAAAACATTATCTCCTTTCATGTTTCACGGGAGGAGGACAACCTTGTGCCTTCTATATTGAACTGCCAAATTAGTAATACTAAGATGAAATATCTGGAGGTATAATAAGAGGCAGCTATAGAAGTCAAGTTTCTCCTCAGACCAGAATTTTACACTTAGGAGAAAAAAATAAAAAATAATCCTTGAACAGTTACCAAGAGTTTAAGAAGCTACTTTCAGTACCTTCTGAAAACACTTTAGGAGCAGTCTCTCAGAGCAGGACTATTAAAAACTCTGCCATGGTTATTACTTCTTTGTGAAGCGAAGATGGCAACGTAAATGCAGAGTTTCACATTTCTAACACGAACAGAAATGTATCCATTTGTCTTTACCGCATTTTAGTTCTCAATTGCAAAAAGAAATTGAAACTTTGATGTTTCTTACCATTCGGATGCCAGATTTCTGTGATGAATTTCATTTTTGGCGGCCTCAGTGGATAGTCTTTTGGAAAAGTAAGATGAGCCTTGAAAACACCACCTTCACTGGGGAATCAAAAATATCTCAGTAGAGTTTCTTGTAAACTTAAGTTGAAGACTGGAACTTATTGATGTATCAGAAACTCTCAGTTTACCCCTCACACAGCTTAACATCATGTTAGTAATTAACAGTACCATCATTTCCATATGCAATGCAAAGAGTTTCTGGATTGAGAAGATACTTTCACAAGACACTGCCAGTTCCCCAACACTATCTTTTTTAGAATTAGGATGATGTTCCAGAGGGGAAAAACCACATACATACCCCCCACACCCTCCCCGCCCCACCCCCCCAAATAATCAAAAACTGCCAAGGAATTCACCATCTGGTATTACAACTTGCATTGTTCCTCCCAGTACATTTATTAACAAGAAAAAAAATATTGCAAATAACTTCCCTTCTCAAGTACAGCCCAGCAGATACCTGTTTATTTTCCTCCTTTATACACCTCAGTCCTAATTTCTCAGTATCAGTCTGCAGCAGTGAGCCTCAGTGAAAAGTTATAGAAAGCTTCTTTATACTTGTGTCTAGAGCATCACTTTGTACAAAGATTTTCAAGACTACCTTTGCAACACTAAGCTACAGGGACTCAGACATGACAGTGAGGTGTTATGCATTAGTTACCCACTAAACTGGAAAACAATAATAAACAAGAGACATCCAGTTTTTACGTGGAGTTACAGGCCCGTATTTAACTAAGGTAAGACTCTGTTGTTGGGTTTGGGGTTTTGGACCTTTTTTTTTAAAAATAACTAGATTTCAATACCCAAGAATAGTCCATTTTGAGAAGTGTGAAGTCATTATTAAATGGAAAACCTTATAGATGGACTACTTCACTAATGTAAGTACTACAACATTTGCCCAATTACAAGAAATGACAGTAACAGAAGTTTGTAACAAAAGTTGAAGTTGCAAAGGCAGAGATTATAAAAACTGGAATATAACCTCCAAAGAAGGTGGCACTGGATGTGTAGCATGACGAGCTACTCCTCAGTAGCCATGCAAACAAAACTGGTGTAGAAGAGACAAAGCTGTTCAGTACAGGGTTGGTTGGTTTTTCTTCTTTATTTGTAAAGGAGTTGGAGCCAGTATCCAAAGCCCATAGGCTACTGAGAAAATAACAAATTTTACCACCACTAACCAAAGATGTGCAATTCCAGCAAGTGTCTCAAAAAAAAAACCAACCCAAAAACAACCCCAAAACATCCCCCCCCAAAAAAAAAATTACTAGATCTAAGTGACTTGGCTCTTAAAATAAAGCAGCTGAGGGGATCTGAACCCACAACAATTATTTTCCACAAGTTTTAGAAGAGGCAGGCAGTTACCAAAGAATCTTTGATCCTGGGAAGGGCAAGAATTCCAGAAACACTGGCTATTTTAGCATTCATATTAGTCAAGACAAAGGAGAGTTAGATTACTTTTGCTGATAGCCCCAAACCAGTTAAGTCCTTTCTTTCAAACTGAAAAAGTTCTTCTTTTCCTTCTTAAAGGAGCAGATCCTAAGGCTACTAGGCTGTATGACATAGCTGGTTGACCCTCATCAACTAAGTATAAATACAGCTCTAATTGGATACACATTAGAAACCAGTTAATAAAGTACAGCTGTCAATTAAGGGAGATCAGTGACATTTTTAGCAATATTCCTGATAAAGAGGTCTCTGTCAGTAGAGTCATGCACTGAGTCTAAAATCTTTTTAGGTACACTCAGAATAAATAAAGTGGGACCAGGAATGAGACTAAAGTTTGAAAATTTTGAACTGCCCCGTTATGTTAAACTATTATGTTCTGCTGCCATCATAAAATGGACCAAGAAGGAAGGATTCAGTATAATGCTACCTTGAAAAGCAGCAACTAAGGACTGGAACAGAAGAGAGCTTTTATCTAAAAAGCCTCAAAACAAGCTCAGCACCTTATTGAAGTGGGAGAAAAAATGCTATTGCAATTTTTAAAATATAGTAAGAGGTTCAATTAGAAACAGTATTACTTTACTGACAGTATTTATAAAACGGCCATGAGAATAATGGAGCCACTACAAAACTGTTCAAAAGAGGTCAACAGAAGTTGGAGAATTCATCTCATGCAGGACTTGAGAATCACAAGGTATACAGCTTGAGAAGAAGCAAAGCAATTCAATTACTGTTCTTAAGCACTTATTCAGAAGTCTGCAAACAGAGGTATACAACAACTTCATGATGGAACTAAAATTGACCTCAAGTAAATGTCACTAAGCTTTTTGTATCATTAATTTACCCCGGAACAGCTTAATGAAGGAAAACAGAGTTCATCTTCAACTTCAAGAGCTACACTTTAAGCTGACCTCTTCTGGGCATAGAACCTTTTCCCAGGAGCTAGAATAGATCATCACATATAACCTCTACGAGAAAGAGAGATTGCTCTCTCAATTAGCCAGAGCTTTTTTTTTTTTTTTTACACAAAAAACAAACAAACAAAAAACCCAGAGAACACAAAAAAAAAACCCCCCACACAAAAAAAACCAAACCACACTGCACGTGCCAGAATGCTTCAGGTATGTAGCAGTGCAAAGCCACAGTGAACTTAAAGCCCAGGAAAAGAAACTACTGTATGAACTGCATGGTTTTGTGTCCAAAAGTCAATTAAATAACCAGGTTCTTAGGATAAAGATATAAGCTTTCTGAAGCCCACTGTGAGAGGTTTGCCAACAATTCAAATTTGATCAACACTGAGCTACTCTAGGTCACGCTAGAAGTTCTCCCATCTCAAAGTGACAGAACTTAAGGCTAATTCTACGTTCTGCTGCAGTTCCCCAAAGACATTCCTCTTGAATATTTTCCTATGATCACCAGCATGAAGTTGCAATAGTTTAAAATCGTACTATCAGCTAAACTACAGCCTCACAGCAATAACAGCAAATAGCTGCCTTACTTAAATGTATAAGAAAACAGAAGCTGCCTCTGAGTATAGGCTATTCTTTCTCATTTCTACACGAGTAGAAAGGGATCAGTGTTGCGTTTTCCCAGGGGAGCAAAGCAGTTTAGAACTTCTATATAGCAAATTCAGCTATTTACAGGTATTTTGCTAGCAGCAGAACAGCGTTACCTAGCTTAGTCAGTATGAAGGTTTAGTTAACTTCTACTCACTTAGATCAAACTAAAACTAGTAAACCCAAGTTCACTTAAGTTTCTGTATAAGTATCAGTACTTACTATAGTGTATCTGGAGGACCAATAATAAGGACTTCCCATCGATAAAGATCATTGTCATCTATTAAGCCCGCTGAAAAGCCTTCCACTGGATTTTTGTTGAGCTCTGTGTAGGAAAAAGAATTTAAGAGTGACTTTAGGTGTCTGATATGCATTCGCTGCTTTTGCTCGTGGCTCTATATGTGACCAAAAAAACCCCGTAACTTTCAGTGATTTGGCGCCTACTGATGGACTTACAGCCTGGATGAGTATCCTCGACACCCTACCACACACAACAGCATGCTGCCAGAGCTGAGACCCATGGTCTGACTCTAAAACTATCTGAAGTACACAGAAGCGCCAAACTAACTCAGAAAACAAATTTGCTACTAACAAAAAAGACACACTGCTTTATAAGAACCCTGAGATCAAACTAAAGTCTATCTTTAATTCTAGAAAACGTTAACAGAAGAACAAAGTCACACTATGTTTTCATTTGAAACTAACATCCTACTTCCCTTAAATGATTTCTTTCATAATCTGAAAACATTTGAGACCTGTACCCAGTGCATTCTGGAGGCAACGATTTATTACATTCTGAACTACTAGAAGAGAGCATAGAAGATAAGCTATTATGCTGTTTAGGTTTTGGGACTTTTATTTTTTTCTTTTGTTTCAGTTTTATCCACTAGTGATAAGCAATACAGGATTCTATGTTTACAGGCTACTTCATATAGTTACTGCCAGACAGAAAGCATATCTGGAAATAGCTATGCAGAAGTCAGATCTAGATGTAGACTCCACCGAGTTTCCGTTTGCAGGCTGCTCCAGGAAAAATCATAAAATTTGGAAATAAACACCTCAAATGAGTTCTGCCTGAAATTCATCAGGGGTGGGGGTGGGGAACATCTCTTAACTAACATCTTTGGGTCAAAAACTAATTTAACACCATATTGATGACAAACTGAAATTCTTGATCCAGCATTTCCAACAGTACGTACAAAGTCCTGATGGATCTTTGGTATTTAGGATAGGGGAAGGGGAGAAAATGTTATTCCTTCAACTCGTCAGTAATTTCCAGATTAAGTTAGGGATTTTGTTTTGTTTTACAATTACTACTGCACTTATTTTAAATCCTGTCAGACATTATACAGCCCTCTATTATATTCCACAGTACAGTCAGTCTACATGTTCCTTCTTTGTAAACCCAGCAGCTGTATTTTGTCTTGATTTCTAGGCGTTACAGGCTTCAGAGGTCCTTATAATGCCCTCAGGTACCTGCAGAAGAAGTTCAAGTGAGAACCTCATACCTTTATGAAGAAAAGACTACCATTAAGTCCAGACTGATTTGCCTATAAGCTTGCAGTCACTCTTTGCCAGTTAAGTTCTTAACTATTTAAAGCATGGTTAAAAAGTGCAAAAACAATCAATTCAAGCCCTACCAGCACAGTCCAAATCCACATGGGGAAAAGAAAGTACTCAGCTCACATGAAGGACCAAGGTCCTGAAGAGGTAGACACCAGGAATACCAACTTTGTTTGGCCATTGGTAATTCAGAGTCAAGTTTATCCACAGAGATGACTCTATGTTAAAATCCTAAGAAATATTGGAAGGGTTTTTCTTAGAACCTACTCAGCAGGGGTTTAGTCAACAGATGAGGTCAACCACTCACTCGCCAAGTTGCAGGACATAGACTTAGGTATTGAACCAAATCATGTTTTCTCAAGACAATGCCCAAAACAAAAGGTATTATCACAGGCTACTTAACCAAGATGCAAGATTCAAAAACCAAAAGTCTATTAGCATGGCCCCACCTCCACTAAGCAGACCAGTTTTCACCCTCTGGCATCTTTAAGACCTTGTGGAAACAGCTGCATGAGCTTGAGTAACAGTTCTATTTAATTTTAGGTGAAAGGGCCAGAGAGACTAGGTTAGTGTCTCACATGAAGCAAGGATTCACCAGTCCCTTGCTACCTCCCTACTACAGACATTTCTCCAGTATCAGACATTAAAAGTCCCACCACATTAGTAGTTGAATATAACCTACTTTTTCCTGCACAATTTTATATAAAAAAAATAACTGTCTATTGCTTGTGCAAAAAAAGCCACCTCTGTTCAGGACACTTAAGTCATTCTTTTGGATTTTATATTAGTATTGTAATAAAGAATATTCAGCATAACTACAGAAGTCAACAGAAAGAGTGCAAATACTAGGTTTGAGTATCCCACCTTAACACTTTCAAACCTGAATTTAAGCCTCAAAAAAACACAAGTTCCCTCGTTTCTGCATTTCCACAGGAAGAAAACGGTTAATGTCAAGTTCTATGTAACCTGCAGCTCAAGCTGCTCACATTTAGCTTCCTTATTGTTTGCTAGTAAACACTTCTCAGTGATAAGACTGAACAAGACCGCTAGAAGACTCCAGAAAATTCAGCATGCTTTTCTCTATCTAAATAGACCACACTACTTGAGTCTAACATACACGTTTTCTTTTCTATTTCTTGATTTGTGCTATTTCCATTTCTTTTTACATCTGCCTCAGCCTCCAAAGATTTTTTTACCCTTGCATCCTTTGAACCATTTTTCCTGTACTTATTCCCAATGAAAGCTAGCTCTCACACTGACTCCTACCTAAGGCCTTGCAGCTCTATATTACACGAGATCTTGTGAGAAGGAATAAGACTGCTGGATGCCAACTCTTGTAACACAGAAAGCCTGTAAACTGTATGAAGGGGACAGCCATTGACAAAAATCATCAGTTACAGCAGTTAGAGAAATTTGGTTAGTGGATGCTCCCTATAAAGCAAATTACGATGTTACTTCTTTTACAGGAAGTGGCATCAGTCTCTGCTTGTAAAACGTTCTCAATTTCCTTCCATAGCAGCAAGACTGAAGCATAGTTCAAACAGCTAGTGCTTGCACAAATACTTTGAAGTAAAACAATGGATATTAGCTCAGGCACCTACTCCACTAGAGATATGTAGAACTACCATAGGCAAGTTAAAATGAGCTTTTCCATCCAGATTATTTATGCTGAACATTATTATTTATATTTATATATAGATTATTTATAACTGAACATCAACTAATGGCTGGGTGGCAGACAAAAAAAAAAAAAATCTCAGGAAAGTTTTGCACTGAAACACAAAAACATCATCCTTGGCTGCTTTACCATGGATAGCCGAGAGCTGCTACTCGTTAAAATTGGCAAACACTGAAGCCTAGGGTTTATCTGGTTTTGTTCCTCCCCCTCCTGGATATGTAGCCAGTGCTGCCTATCGAAACAGTTAACTAGTAGTACCGCTGATCTCTTCGTGAGTTGAGACTCGCACACTAGAGAAATCCACGCACCAAAATCCCAAATGAATAGCGGTGCCACTACAGCAAGAAAGGAGCACACACGCACAGTCAGAGGAGTCAGCTGCTAGGCAGAGGGACCGCTGCCCACCAGCCGGAGCCTCTGGTGACACTAACACTGCACTCAAGAAAATGAGACACCTGTTCTCTGCGTCTGTCATTTCCTACCAACTACAGGAGTTAACTACTTGCAGCCTGAACCGGAGTTTTCCTAGACAAACACATGGAAGGTGAAAACGCTTCGTAAGGCAAGGGATTCAATTCCCCCCCCCCAGCCTGGGAGCGGGAACAGGCCCTTGTGTAGGTCCTCTACAAAGCCCCGTTGCAGAGCTAGGCTACAAGTCCTGGAAAAGCAGAGAAGTCGGGCACCTATGAAGAACGCAGTCCCTCCGTGTTATTTTTTTCAGCACTTAGTTTTCCTTTGAGATTTCTTGTTTAGCTGAAGATATCCTGTACTTTTTAAACATAAATGAGTACATTAGCACAATTCCACCCTGTCAATGCCTAAATAAGTGAAATTTACATGCTACTGTATATTACACACAGTTTAGTATTTCTGCCAATATTTTCTGCATTTCTCATAGTTTAATACAATAGAAATTTTTCTTCCCTGAGGGGGAAAAAAAAAAATAATAATAAAATCTTACATTCACTCTAGAAGCAGTTTCAGGTAGAGTCCTTCAGAGCTCAAGCAGCAGCTGACAGCCAAAGCAGCACAAGCCTGGAGAGCTGCCAAGCAGCAACATACCGGGGAAAGAATCCTGCGGCTGCTTATAAATTAGGCATTCAGTCCCTTTAATCCCAGTCCTGAATCAATACCTGATTTGGGAGGTGAGGAAGGCTACAGGCCCATAATTCAACAGAGTCGTTTCAGTCCAGAACAGACTTTAACATCCAACGCCTAGTCTCCCACATGATCTGCCAACACAACCCATTGCTCCTTTAGCAGTTTAGCTCTTATTAAAGCAGAACTAAGTTACCATTGCCTTAAACTTGAGCCAACACAGTACCATAAGCTGTGCTTCCAGTTTCAGTGTTTAGTTGACACCAAGCCACTGATGTTCCCACACTCAGTAAAACTGCCTTTATGTAAGCCAAGAGACTTTCACCAATCCAAACGCAAAACGGCGTCAACAAAAATGACTAAGCAGAAAGAGCCCCATGGCTACATGCAGCAGCTATGTACGGCATCTAAACTTTTCAGCTTGACTTTTCACCCAGCCAGCCACTGCATATGAACACTTCAGAGTATTTTAAACTACACTGCAGTACAAAGCTTTCAAAAATATAAGCTTCCACATTATTTTTAATAGCAGCCTCTTCAGTAAGTTACACAGTGGTTGAGTTTTGTGCAGCCAGTGGATTGAGTCCAGCACAAAACCAGAGACCGGACAGCCTAAATCCTAACTGAGGCTTCTGGAGGAATCATCCAGCTGACTTACACACAGTCCTGAGAACAAGCAGGTTATATCAGAGCTTTACATTTGCTACACATGAGGCTTGTTTTTTTCTTGGTTGCTTTTTAGGAGTCTCAGTACTAGTCCAGGAGCTTCTAACAACTGTACAGACTGAAAATCCTTGTTCTAGACTCTTCTTCTCCATACCCCAAGCTGCGACTTCCATATAGTTATATTACTTAACTGAGGTCAGTTATGATTTCCAAGACTTTCCCTTCTGCCTGCATATCCAGCTGTAAGTCTCTGATTCTAGAAGATTAGGGCTGAGACAATGATAAAGTAACACGATCTCCTTGAACAGATGTATTCCTTG